TTTAAAGACACGATCATGTCTGAAAATAAACACGTCCATGGTCTTTCCCGTTTCTGCTCCGCTTCTCCAGTCTGTCCAAACAAACGAAATAAAGTGCCGTGTGTAATGAGACCTGATAAAAACAACGGCAGTATTTTCAAGTTATTGTGAATTGAAGATCTTGCACGATAATCTTTTGTCCGTAGTAGTGCGTGTGTATAATACGTGCGTTGTTGGAGTACATGTACACGCACATGTGCACGCATAAATCATGACCGACCATCAATCGACAGAGAACCAAAGTTGAAATTGATCAAACTAACGAGGGACAATTTGTAATAGTTTATACATAACATGGTATCCTTTTCAAACACTCTTTCAATTACCAAGATTATGCAGCATGTGTGGAAAAACGGAAATGTAACGTACACAGACATCTTTCACCCCATTTTCTCCGAATTGTTACTTATAATTAACAAGAAACCATCACAAAATGAAATCTGAAGCCTGATTATATTTCTCTGGTATAAATTCAGCAAACTTTTACACAATGCGGAAGATCTCCGCAGATGGATTTTGGTATAGTTGTTTGCTGACTGGCGTCGCCATTTTAACAAGCAACAGAATGTGACCACGACATTGTCGAATTTTAGCGCATGCGCACAAGCTAAGTGGAAGGGGCGGAAAAGGCTACGTGTGTTGCTCATGAAGCATTGCGGTAATAATTACCACTCCTATATGTCTGCCATTGTGGTACAAACACCAACAACATCGAAGCGATGGAGCAAAATGAATGTTTTGCAATGTTACCCTAAACATTGGTGACAGTTTAACTCCCATAGTTAATTTCCACAAAAGAATATGCAACAATCTTTAGGAAACACAACAGGTCTTCGCAAAACAGCTCTCCACACGAAAAATTAATCGGATTGAGAAAAAAACAAAAAGGACGTTATGGTTCATCCATCGTCTGGCCCGATACCGCCGTCCAAAATTTTACGGACTCCGATACTGTGTTGTTTTTATCTGTATTTGTTCAGCAGTTCGTTTTGTCTCCAAATCTCCTCTCTCATCAGGCAGCATAGTCCATAATAAGTACGAGCCAGCAAAACAAACAACTTGAAAGAGGGCTCATCCCTAGAGGGTGATAGATTGTCCGCGGCGCAAACAACGCTGGCATTCCAATATTAAATTCTGCTCATTTAGGTTGATCGATATCGCTCTAAACGTAACAAGCGCACGGAGCGAATGAACATCCATAATCTCCACTCACGATTTGCCCCGATTCCGTTTTCGAGATGTGCATGCCAAATTTAGATAATTCGATCATCGAAAGGAACAAAACTTTGTTCTGTACCGTTTCTTAGAAACAAATTGTGTCGTTGTCATCAAGCAGAGTTCACGGAGTCCAAGACAAACTTTTAATGAAGTATTTGTCCAAACAATTTGTAAGAACATGGCTGACTGCTCTAGTCCTCATGAACCAAAAGGTATACTTACTTTTTCGTTTGTCTATTATTAACAGAGCCATTTTAAGGTTCGTAACTCAACGAAACAGCCTTTCCCAGAAGCACTTGGACAGTAGACCCCAAAAGGAAAAGGTTTGGGTCACTGACCTACGTTGAACTCATAGACCTCCGATACTTTGACAAGTGCAAAGAATTGTCTGTTAAATATTTTAAAAAGCAAAGGTATGTCCCACTTTTTCCAAATCACACTGCGACCAAAGCCATAGTGTGCCACCTTCCAGAAAACCCCGCTCTCATTTTTGTGCCTGCTGTTTCGCAACGCGACAACCCCTCCGGACGAAGCACCGAGTACAAGCTTTAAATTAACGAAATCTGCGAGGCGACAGTCAAAAGTCTACCCCGCAGCGACCTCATGATTCAACCAGCACCATCCAGGAGTCGTCCCCAGGCCAGTGCATGCGTGCAAAGGCGCCCAGATAAATCCAAGGCAATATCACCTCCTGGACAGCAAGCTGGTTTTCTGATGGTATTAAGATAGCTGCGCCAAGCGTCGTGCCGTGTGAAGCAAGCCAGCTGCAGTCATCCTCGCTGTCGTGTGTGGCACGAGTCCAAGGCTATCAAGCTTCAAGGTTCAAAGCATATTGCCCAGTTAGGCAATACATGTATGACATTTCATTTCATATGTCAAACCATTTCATTGCCTTGTGAGTGAAATATACAAGGCCAAATAGGATTTGCAGCCCAAAGCCCCCCCCCAAACCTTACTGGATGAACCAGCACGTCTTCGACAAATTTGACACCAAAGGTAACGACAGGATTTTCGATTACTTTTTAACTGTGTTCTAATTTATTACTTATTCTGATCTCAAATATATAAACTTCAGATAGAGACGAAAGCCTCATTATCACAGCATAAACAGTGGTTATCGACAAGAAGGCTGCGCAATAAATAACGGTTCATTTACAAGACTTAAGCTGACATGACTACTTACAATTAATATAAACAAATATGCATAACACTTAGCAAAAGATCGTACGTACGTCTCTACTGAAAAAAAAATCAAAACAAAATTCAATGGGAAAAAAACCTGACAGGCCAAATAATTCATGCGGAGGCAAAAGAATTTAACAACCAGTTTCAGAAAGACAAAACGTTTCATTAACTAAAATAACTAGTTAATAAAAAAGCAACGAACTCAAACCAAAGACTGATTAAGTACAGTAAGAACACTTATAGTCCGGCTTTCAAAAATGTGTCCAATGTTACACTGAAATCGTTCATTTACTTCGTGGCACACCAAAAATACAAAGCAAAATTCGGCATTAATGCATGAAATAAACACGTAAGTTAAAATGAAGACCAAGAGATACAAGTATATGAGAAGGGAAGCGTGTGCCTCATTACTTCACAAACGATCCCGTAATTTGCACAGACGTTGGGGGGGGGGGGGGGA